TCTAATGGACAACGGGAAAAGAGATAAGGTAGATGCTAGTGACAGGGTTTTGCCAAGCTTTGTGATGATACAAAAGCAACCAGGTACTTTGTGGAAGTCCCACATTCCATAGCCCCAAGGTCTTCAGAAAAAAGGTACAAACTGATGGGCCACAGGATGGCTTCCCCATCTTCACACTGGAGTAGGCACTTGCTTCCCATTGGATTTGAGCTCCAGCTGAGTTTCAGCTGTTATGGAACCATGTGCTGAAACCCTTCATGTTTCAGTCAAGAGTCAGAGAGTTCACGGAAGCCACACTGAACATGTATTCCCAGCTGACAGATTGTACAGATTTTTTTTTTTGAAACTAATATGCTGGGATGTTTTGTCTTGTGTTTACAAAACCCTGCCTATGTATTGTAGCTTAGAATTTTCTCAAAGTGCCAGAGCAGTATTTTGTTCCCAGACTATTCTGTGCTACGGCATTGCTACAATAAATACACCATAGGAATGCCCAAGCAGGTTCTTGTCACTATAAAGTAACTGCTTCCCAGAACCTTCTCTTTGTGTTCCCCTTTGCTATGCACCAGAGGGCATGTAGCTTCAAGCAAAACTGTGACATTTTTAAACGTTTTTTTCCAAAGGTCGGACACTGTCTTGAGAGCAGTGTACTGTTCAATGTGAAATCCTCTTCTGTCCTGAAATCATGTCTGGCAAAAGTACATTCATAGAAACTGACCTCACGGCTTATCGTTTTTAAATGGCTTTCTAGTTGATGTTCTTTCCTTCCATGCCCGCTCTCTAGAAGTCAGAGGCAAAGTTGATGGAGATGTAGTCTGGCAGAGTGGGTGAAGGTCATGCTAATCTGGATTATTGTTTACTAAGAGTTCAGTGAGTCATCATAGCATAGAGAACAGGGGTCTGGGCCTCAGCAGCACGGGTCCTAGCCACAGCTCCCCAAGGGCCAGGGAGCACATTGTCAGCTCTTAGTCCCAGCTGATCTCTTAAATGGGGTTTGCTCTTTACTTCTCAAGGTATCTGAAGCATAGGTGACATGATCTGTAGGAAAGGGTACTCAGTTCTTGGGGCAAAGTAGTCCTTAGAGTGATGGTGGGTGGTTGGAGTTACTACCCTTCACTCCAGCTGTGATAGAACACCATGACCAGAAACAGATTAAAGAAGGAAGTGTATTTTGGCTCATGGCTCCTAAGGTTAATAGTTAATAGTGTCAGGGAAAGCATGGCAGCAGAAGCAGGAAGCTGAAAGATCACATCTCAGTGGCACACAGGAAACAGAGAAGGAACTGGAAATGGGATAAGGCTATAAATCCTCAAAGCCCTTCCCCAGTGATGTACTTCCTGCAGGAAGGTTCCACATCCTTAAAGTTATATGGCTTTCCAGAACAGAACCACTAACTGGGGACCATGCTTTCACGTACATGAGCCAATGGGGGACATCTCTTATTCAAACTCCACAGTCATCCTGTCAGGTAACATACAGCTCTTGGCTTGTGAACTCCTCAGACAGCCCTCTGAGGTTGGTGCTGTTGTCCTCATACTACAAATGAAGAAACAGACCGGAGGTTCAGTAAGTTGGCAACGTCATAAACTAAATGACTCAGCTAAGACGTGGACCAAGGCAATTGAGCCCAGCCTAAGCTGATTTGCCTCTCACTTGGGTCAAGTATTCTCTTATTACATGGAAGCTATTGATGTGTTTTTTTTCTGCGATTGTGTGTGAAAGTCTTCCTCTACAAGATCTCTTATCTAATCTCCTGGTAATTTAGGTCTTGAGTCACATCTTCAGCAAAAGAACCTTACCTTCCCCAAAGCCAAGACCCATCAGCCTCTCACCAAGTTCAGAGACGGTTTGCAGCTTGTATTTCCTAGGGAACAATGGGGTCACACAGAGCAGAGAGCAACCCAGAGTGGACTTCACTTCCCAGCAAATGGAGAGTGATAGGAAAGGTCTTCAGACAGGTGGGTGTGGGCAAGGTGGTCCTGCCGATAAAGGACCCACCCACGTGATGGAAGAAGAAAGGCAGCTCCTCCATTGTCTGGGTTTCACACACTGGGTGCGTGATGCATGCATCATCACATAGCACAGAGTTTTGTTTTGTTTTGTTTTGTTTCTTTTGTTTTGTTTTGTTTGTAATGAAAGAAAGAAGGAAAGATCTTTTTAGATAGAAAGATGAAGAGATCTGCTCTTTGTTGGGGCCTGTATCACCATGGACCAGAGCACAGCCATAGCTCAGGGTGTTGGTCAAGTTCATTAAAATAAATTATTTTAGATCATTTTCATTTTGAATCTATATAAACCACAAGTTACGTGATTCTGAAACAGATAAATCTACAAATCTACAGAAATCTATATTTATGGTGTAAGCTGTGGCCTTTGTAATTTCCCAGTAATTTATAGTTTGCAGGAGGAAGACAGGCTCAAAGGTGCAGACTGATAAATACAAAAACCCAAAAAGACCTTGGGCCTTATTCCCCTCTTCGTACTTCTTACCTTGTGATCTTGGGCAGGTTTCTTCCTGGGGTCCTGTCTGTGAAAGGGAGTGCTGAGGCTGCCTTGCAGGATCCAGTGGGAGCAGAATGAGAGTGCTTGACACATGATGGGCTGGTCGTAGAAACAAGAGAAAGTCCTAAAAGTCACTTGAAGATACATGCTATTTCACTTGAAGATACATGCTATTTTTAATAGAAAGACCTGAACAAATGGCATATCAGAGTGCAGGGAGTTGGTTTTAGAATAAGGGGCCCTTAGCTCCCCTGACTTCCCTGACCTCTGCTTCCCAGGAAATTGCAGAGACTGAAAATTTAAAAAAAAAAAAAAAGAGCAAAGGGAAAGCAACCTGAAATCCTGAAATTTCCTCTGTGGCAGCCAGGCCTTGGTTCCCAGTGGCCAGGAAAGTGGAGACAAGCATGCAAGGCTGGTGCCAGGGTACAAGGTGACTTAGGATGAAACTTCATAGACAGATCTGATTCAATTAAACTATGATATGTGAAAGGCTCTTCCAAGTGCCACACTTTGTGGTGTTAAAAGAAAAAAAACATAGTAAGAAATTGGAAACATTTTAGGTATATGCAACATTTTAAATTATAAAAATAGCCTTTATTATATGAAAATTTGAAAAATACAGGAAAAGACAAAGGAAAAATAAAGGCATTCATAATCCCATTATTGTAACTACAGTTCACATTTTAGAAACAGCTTCCCTGTATGTGTGTATGTATGTATGTATGTATGTATGTGTATATACACATACATATACATTTTTACAACTGTAATTATCCTATGAAAATTGTGCCTCAGGTTTTTTTAAATAGTATGCTATAATGTCTCAGTAGTATTCCACAGTATTTTATTTAGTAGGCTCTCTGATATCAAATCTAAGTTGTTCCCAAATTTAGAGTGTATCATAAGTTATCAGATGTCAGTATCTTGGCTGAGGGATTACATCCAGGACCTCCATGGGCACCCGAATCTGCAGGTGCTCAGGCCCCTTTTACAAGTGTAGTGTTTGCATGCCATGCTCTTCCCACAGACTGGCACAGTGCAGACATTATGTGTTGGGGGTGGTTGCTGCACAGACAATGAGGAATGATGGGAAATAGTCATTGTACTATAGACAGCTTTCCCCAAGTGTTTTCAGTCTGCAGTTGTTGAATGCGGCATAGATACAGAGGGCTAATGTTATAGTTAACTTTTTTACCTAGACTCGACTCTAAATTTATCGAAGTAGATGACACGCTGTGTCCCTGGAGGTGTTAGGAATAGAGGCTTAGATTCTTCTGGGGCCCTTGCACCTCGGTGCTGCTATCCTCAGCTCTCACACCTCTTCCTCCTACCTGACCAAACACATCATTCAGAGTCGGGGGATGGGAGTCTCTTGTGCCTCTCACCTGTTCAGTAACCATAAGCATACAGAGGGACAGTCTGAATCTGACCTTTTGACCCATTGAGTGCTATCTGAGAACACTATTGCTATTTAGGTTGACAAAGCAATAATGAATAAGTGTATAAAATGTTCTGCTGTCTTCTGAGATCTGCCATAACACTTAGGTGCATAGGATGGGTAGTAGAATTCTTGGATATTAGAATACTGAAATCATACCTGTAATGTTTCCACCATGTCTGAGTAAAAGTGTAAACAACTAGCTGATGGCTTTTACCGTTCCATGACCAAACCCAGAGCATGAGATTCACTCTGTAACTTTCATGGTTTTTATTTCTTTGATTTTGAACTATGATAGAGTTCTGCACATACCTCCTGGTTGTAATTGATTAGTGTGCCGTGATGATTATGCATAAGTACCTTGGCAGCAGTGCCTCCTGTGGAGCTGGTGATTCCTCAGCCAGTAGGGTGGGTGGGCTTGTCGTTTGTTTGTTTGTTTGTTTGTTTGTTTGTTTGAGTCAGGGTCTCACTACATAGCCCAGGTGTCCTAGAACTTACTGTGTAGACCAGGCTGGCCTCAAACTCACAGAGATCTGCCAGCCTCTGCCTCCTGAGGGTTTTACCCATGTCATCTTGTCATCCTACTATTCATATTAGGAAAGAGATCCAGAGAGGAAGGTAGCCTGCTTCGTATCAAGAATGAGGCAATCACATGTGCCTCCAGTTCATTCTGGCTCAGACATATTTTAATTTATTATATATATGCGAGTACACTATTACTGTTTTCAGACACACCAGAAGAAGGTATCAGATCACACACATTACAGATGGCTGTGAGCCACTATATGGTTGCTGGGACTTGAACTCAGGACCTCTGAAAGAGCAGTCAGTGAGTGCTCTTAACCACTGAGCCATCTCTCCAGCAAATATCCCCCCTGGTATGGGAAGAGCTGACTAAGAACAGGCTTGAGGAAAAGCCAGTTTCTGCCATCTTGGATAGCTATACCCTTGGAAGAGACATTACTGTTTTCCTTTGGCTTTCTCCAGTGTGTGGTAATTTCTGAGTGTTACATTCACCATTTCAGACATCCCCCCTCCTCCTGCCCCTTTGATCTTCCAGGCCCTCAGTACCGCCTGGAGAAGCAGAGCGAGCCTAACATCGCTGTGGACCTGGAGAGCACGCTGGAGAGCCAGAACGCCTGGGAGTTCTGCCTGGTTCGCGAGAACAGTACGTTAGCTGCCTCGCTCTGTGCCGCTTTGTCTGTTGCAAACATGCTTAGGAGTGACGGGTTTGAGAGTATTTGCTGGTCTGGCTTCCCTACACAGATGAAAAGTGACTGTTTTTCAAGACAGACCACAGCCTTTGTGCTAGAAGTGTGTCCCAAAGCAGAATGATAGATTCTGTGCTATTTTGTAGTCTGCATCCTGTTTAGCACTGTGTGATTAATATTTTGCTCTTGAACTATATCTTCCAATTTTGGAACAACTCTGGAAACTGCTTAGAAACAAGAGGCCCTTTCTCAAGCAAAGGCTCTTTTGTATATATAGCAACTGGCCTGGTCAGTGTCAACTGCTTAACATCATGTTTTAAAGAAATTTAACCACTTGACTATTCTCGGCAGAAGGCATCCCAGTTACTGCAAGTGCCACTGTGAGAACTGAATGCCTTCTTGTCTCCAGAGTTTCTGAGTTTTGTTGTTCTCTGCTAGATGCTGAATAGGAAGAGATAAACGGCCCACGGCCAGTCATAATCCAGAGCTGCTCCTTCTGCCTGAAGTGTTCCCTCTTTCTTGTCTCAGTTTAAAGTAGCATCTGCAGAGATAACCCTGCCAGCCAAACCTGGTTCCTTCCTCACCTGAGCATCAGAATGCTACCACCGAGCAGTCTGGTTTTTCTTTATGGCGTTATTTCTGTTATTTATTTTGCTTGGTAACTGGCTAATGTCTGCCTTCCCCATTGGACTGCACAGCTGCAGAAGCATGCCTGACCCATACTGCTTCCTCATTAACTCAGCAGTCTGCTAAAGACTGCACCCTCTAGGGGCTCAGGGAAAACAGACTGGGTGAGTGACTGAATAAAAGATCTTTAGTCCTGCACTGCCTCTTAACTCAGACCAGAGCCCTTGGCTGCCTCTTCTGGAACAGCGTGCACACATTTACCAAGAAGAGGAAATGCATTTTTGGCATTCAAAACAAATTCTTAAAAATAAAGGTTGATGGCCTTACCATCTGCTGCTGGTTATAAGAATCCTATGCAAAAACATGTAAAATTAAAAATTAGTGGTGCCTAAGTAGCCTAACAACACTTTAGGCAAGTAGTGAATATTTATAAATGTGTGTTCCTATCAAGAGTCTAATATACAAGTATTTTTATGCAAAATCTGATGTTCTCCTCATATCAAATAAAGCATATATCTCAGAAATATTCCTCCTGATCTGGGCATGGTATTGTGCACCTGTTATCAGCACATGGAAGGCTGAGGCAGGAGAGGCAGGAATTCAAGGTCATCACCAGCTACGTGAGTCTAAGGCCATCCTAAGGTACATAAGACCATATCTCAACAAAAATAAATAAAACCTCATCAGTGGGGAGAACACCCTCATCTGAGGGTATTGTTGCCTTAGCCACTGGTGACACCAGCGGAGTCCAGGGTATACACTAGTTGGATAGATCAAAAGGACTAAGACCGTTCTACACAATATTCCACTTTGGGGAATCTACTTTGAGAAAAGACCTAGAATGCACCAAAGATGTGTGTGGATATTGTTGTTTTCACAGTGTTATTTCTGCCTGTCCCCGCATGGGGGATTTATGCAGTTTCTTGATATGCTGACTGACCACAGTAAAATTAGCCTAGAAATCAAGAAAAGAGAAAGAAAAATCTGTATGCATTTGGAAACTGAGGCATAAGCTTCGGAGGCTGTGAGTGGAAAAACAATAGTAGTAGAAATTAGAAAACATTTTGATGACATAATAGCAATACTGTATGTTACAGATCATGGATGGCTACAGCAGTGTGTAAGGAAGTGTTTTAGCCCTCAACTTGATACGGTACAAAGGAAAAGTCATGAACTGAGCTCAGCTTTAAAAAAAATAGAAAAACAGAAACAAACAAACAAACAAAGCATAAGAGACTAAAAGGAGACAGCAAAGATCAGAAAGTGTTGAACTAGAAGACTCCAAAAGGACTCATAAAGTCAGGAAACCTCTTTCTAAATGGATCAAAGTTAAGAAAGAAAAATATCAGGGAAACATCAGTATTAACAGGCATGAAAAGGAGACACACAACAGATCCTACCACCCTTAAACATGTAGCAGGGACCGTGCATGTGTGTCTGTGTATGTAAATTCCCTTGCCCGTAGAGAGGCATGGGAAGCCAGTGCTTCACCCCACCACTCTCCCTCATCTTTTTGTTTTATGTTTGTTTGTTTTTCGAGACAGGGTTTCTCAGTATAGCCCGGGCTGTCCTGGAACTCACTCTGTAGACCAGGCTGGCCTCCAACTCAGAAATCCACCTGCCTCTGCCTCCCAAGTGCTGGGATTAAAGGCATGCGCCACCACTGCCCGGCCTCCCTCATCTTTTGAAGCAAGGTCTCACTGAACCTGAGCTCAGGGGTTGGACTGCCGGGCCATCGGGGCCCAGGGATCCCTCTGTCTCTCAATCTTATGCTTGCACAGCTGGCGCTTCGCCCACTAAAGCCATTCTCAGCTCATACAGGATTACTTTGAAAAATTCCACTGTGAAAATTCTAAAAATGTAGATGAAAAGAGTGAAATCCTGGAAAAGGTGAACATAATTAGCACAAAATGCAAAGTGGATGTTCTGATGGATTTTGAAGTCAGTTAGTGATTGAAAACCTTACACAGAGAGAACTCAAGCAAGCAGTGATGGGACACTTGAGAATACACAAGCTCACTCACACCTGCCATTCCAGAGAGACTGCCCTGGAGCTTATGGAAGAAGTGAGGCAGCAGAACGTTGGTAATGACCACCCACAAGACAGAGACCTTTCAGAACAATCTTAGGACAAGAGATCCAAAATTCCAGACAAATTGTTAACATAACAAACTAACATGCCAACATTTTATTAGAATCACACTCCGCTGCCAAGTTGGGTTTACTCCAGAGTACAGAATTGGTTTAACATTAATCAGACCTAGACCATGTCATTTGCTGTATAATGGTAAAAGGGGAGGGAGAAAAGTAGGTACAGAATTTTATCTATCTGCCTCTTGACCTATTGTTGACTTCATTTAGCTCCTGCATTAAAGGTGTGTGCTAGGGCAGAGCCACACCACAACAAGGTTTTTTCAGTAAATAACACAATCTTGGAGTTCACAGTGTGAGCAAATATTCTGCAATTATTTGTCTGTTTGTCTGTCTATCTCTCTATATCTCTCTATCTCTCTATCTATCATTTCTGCCATTAAAAGTTGTGTTTAGGGACTGGAGAGATGCCTTAGTAGATAAGAGTATTTGTTGCTCTTGCAGAGGGAGGGCCCACAACCTCCCAGCACCCTGTACCTCCAGCCTCTGGCCTCTTAGTACACCTGCACACACCTGTTTGTGCACCGAAATACACACACAAGTAAATAAAGTCTTTAAACTTGGTTGTGCTTAGCAAGTTTGGCATAACAGCAAAGGGAAGAGATGTCAGGAGTGCACTGTGGCACATGTAGATATGTTCATACTTGTACTGAAGTGTAAGAATTAAGCTTCACTTCTCTCATTCTTTCTCTTCCCAGAGATAACAGTGCCTTTTCAGGGATGGTCTGTGCACATCCATATGCAAATGAGTAGCTGTGTGCATATTCAAGTACATACACTCTTGTTTGTAGTCCTCCTTACAAAATAAAAAAGCACAAATGGTAACTTCCCGCACTGCTGTTTTATCACCTTAGTGATAGCTGTGGCTTCCTCTGCACTGGTTGACATCCTCTGTGTGTAAATTCCGCTATTCCTTAACTCTGCTCTTAGTCCGAAGCTTATTACGATTCACATTGCTCTTGTTTTTCAGATGAGGCCCAGGTTTCTTGTATTAATAAGGGAAAAAAAGGGTGTGAGGATTAGTCAGTGACCTTGGCCTCTCCTCTCTAGCTCTTGTTCCACAGCTAAGCAAAGCCACGGGTCTCCACTGTGCAGCTTTCTTGAGCCCAGTACCACTCTCCCCAAGGCTTAGTCATGTGTTCCAGTTCTGGTGTTCTGAGTCAAAACTACTAGGAATGAAAAAAAACCCACGGGTGTTTGCAAATGATAAAGCCCGAAAGCAATCAGAGTTTCATGGACTATTTTGACTTAGTTGTATAAGATAGAAGCAAATTATGAAAAGCAATTATTTTTTTCATAGAAAAATGTTTTAAAAACTAATTAGAGATCCCAACTAAGAACCATATATTATTCTTCTCTGCTAGCCATCTACTAAGAACTTGGAGCAACACACTATTTCAGAAATGTGTTTGTTTGTTGGTTTGGTTTGGTTTGGTTTTCACTGTTTTGGTATGCTTGGTCAGGCCTGGCACACTACCCTTTAGAACCATGTTCAGAGGGAACCAAGAGGGTTCATGCATTACAGCAGACTTGGAGAATGTGCTGTCGGGTCCATGGTTTCCTGTGCACACCATTTACTACTCTGAGAGCACCAGCGTTTTATTGGAACTGTGAACAGTTTAGCTGGCTCTGTATTGCTCTCAGCAGGAGTCATTGTATTCTCATCTAAGGCTCCTAGGATAGTACCTGGTACATACTTATCATCAGGGAATGTTGGCTTTAAGAAATAATGGTAGTACAGCCGTCTGTGGCTGGTAAAGCAGAGAGGCACAGGTGTGATGCTCTGGAACCCCAGAGCTATCAGAGCCTTTGCCAAGATGGGGAGAGGAGGGAGTGACCTGTAATGGAGGACCAAAAGAAAGCTTTCTGCTGCACCACAGTGAGGTTCAGTTTATAACTGATGTCACTGGATTGAAAAAGCCACAATATACAGCCTTTCAGTTTTTCTTCAGAGGAGTGGCTCATGACATTTTTAAAGCAGTGACACCCCACAGTGTTTTAAAGTCGTTTATTGAAGCCTACTGTTACAGTCTTGCACCGAACATTTTCCAAGTGCCTCTTCACATTTTCCAAACTCTCCTACAGACATTCTCATTGTGAGGAGACTTTCCCAGAGTTAGCCAGCTAGAAACCACAGAGCACCAAAACCTGAAGTCAGCACTCTCATTCCAAAGCCCAC